CCCCAAAACCCCAAAACCCCAAAACCCCAAAACCCCAGTAAAAGTACAAGATAGAAGAAGATAGAAGAAGATAGAGAAAATGAAATCCTTATTAGAGATGCTTGATGCTCTCTATAACCGTAGGACATCGATACAGGAAAATTACCCATTTATCCCAGTGTTTTTAGCCTCTCGTCAGAGGCTGAGCTTCCACTCAAGACTGCTCTTCCTCCTCTCAATATCTCGAACAGAGCGGTACAATTTCTCACTGTCTAATTCAAACAGGGGGGTGTCAAATTCCTGATCGATTTCCTCCTTGGTCTTGTCTTTTGTTTCCTTCACGAACATGTAGGTAAAGAAGAAGCCAAGAATGGCTGTGCCACTGAATATAAAGAAGTAGATGGCATTTCCCATCCTGAACTGGACCCTATTGCCAAGTCTTTCAACTACGATCATAGCGATTGAGGGAATGAGAGATATCACTGTGATGATGGACCAATGTATCATCGTAATCACTGCCATGCCTTTATCACTCAGCGTTTCTCAAGAATAAAGCATTGGTGTTGAAAGTAAAGTCATATATGAAGTCAGCATATACATCACGATGAAAATGGATGACCCAAAGTTTGGAAAAGATTCAAATATCGGGACCTGAGCTTGCCAGATCGTCAACTTTTCAGCCAACTGGAATAAGATACAGCAGTTGAAGCACATTAAGATCATTGCGATCATGAACAAAGTCTTTCTGCCGAATTTTAGTAAGAAGAACATTGCTATGAGCGGGAAAAAGATTCCAATAGTTACCAAGAAAAAGCCAAGGCTTAGACTGGGAGCACTCAAGCTGAAGATAAAGTGGTTTCCGTAATTTATTACAATATCAAGTCCTGTAAGCTGGTTGAATCCTCTCATAACAAAGCAGGCAAGAAGTTTACGTCTTTCCCTTACAGTTCAAAGCCTGCTCCAGGTATCCTGCTCAAGTAAACTCTCTTCTCATTGTGTAGATTGCTGAGACTCAACTGAGTTGTTGATACCAGAGCTCATAAATTTAGGTTCAGCCTCTTTTGAACTTAATGATAGACTCTTTTGTTCACAATGCTGGACATAGTTAGGATTCTCTTTACGGAAAATTAGTAGTAAAGCTAACAACTTTATGACTGTGACTATAGCCGCCACAGCATACATTTCTCTCCAGATAATATGGGTCCCTTCTATGGCCTCACAAAATGAATTCCTGCTAAATTCATAATCCTGAAATTGCCCAGAGACTGACATATGTGTAGCATCGGTAATCTGGTCTCTAATATATAATTCAAGTATGGAAGGGATAGCATAGCCTAAGATGATCCAAAACTGGATGGAAACGATCAGGTGCTCTAGCTTTGGTAGATTTGACTTCTCATTTTTATTTTCTTGAGATTTCATACAAAAACAAAGGTGATACTGCATTCGTTACTCCAAATCCGATACCAAGCACCGCCCTGCCAACAATCATAAAATAATGTGACTGAATGAAAGTCAATCCACTGCCAATGAGTGAAATCAGACTTGAAACAATGAGGGCTTTTCTTTTACCGTATCTAGATAATTTCCAAGATATTGCTCCTCCAATCACAGCTGTTGCTGGGAATATTACAAATGCAATAGCATCGATTAGTCTAGTATCTTCTTCTGGAAATCCATAAATACAGGGTGTAAAACTCCACAAGACATTCAAAGAGTTTACCAGAAATCCAAAATGGAAATGTCCAATAGTTAAAAAGGCGCCCCATAAGATCATATACGGAAAGTTTTCCATTTTTATATTTTAATATATGTGAATATTTGTTAAAGGTCTCTCAATCATGGGATATTGGCCTGGGGTTTTGGGGTTTTGGGGTTTTGGGGTTTTGGGGTTTTGGGGTTTTGGGGTTTTGGGG